ATTGTGCACTTTAACAGTTGTGATGGATCAAATTATGCATCTGCTGTCTGTAAACTCAACTGCTTGCTCAGTTGAACATGGTGGAACCCTCTGTGCAAAGCTGTCCAAATTAAGACTCTGCGACTTAAGAGTAAAATGACTTTTTTTTTTTTTTTTTTAAATTGATAATCATTACATGGCTTTCATAAAAATCATACTTTAAATGGTCAAGGGGTACCTTACACCTGCTGACCCTAGTTACTGAAATCCAAATGAATATATCTGCGGTACTTGATTTGCGCATTTAGGCTCCATTTCTACTCTGTGTGTGCGTGTGTGTCTGAGAATGATTGAGGGGGGGGTGCATGTGTGGTAATGTGTGAGTGACTAACATAATAACATGAATGGCTAAGGCTTTAACAAATTGACTACAGCATTTTATTTTCGGTGTGGCTATTTTCTCTAGCAAAACTTGGCTGATGCATCACCAGGTAACATTAGCCACCGCATTGATTTATGTTATTAATCAGCCATTATAAAGCCATAATACACGTACGGTCTTCACATGTGTTATGTATCTCAGCTAGCAATCACTGATTAAGGTTAAATGCAATTATAAGTGATGTTGACATTATCTTGTTGTGTCAGGTCTGTTTGGCGAACTTGATGCATATAGGGGATGTTTCTACTTAGATGTTGTAGCATTGAGGATGTGCTGTTGTGGTATGCTAACTCAGCTTTGCAATACACACTGCACTGTTTTGTTTTAACTTGTAATGATCCCGCAGTCCACACTTCCTGTCATTTTCTTTGGTGTGTCTCCCCTTTTTGTGTCTTGCTCTTTTATTGTCCCTCTTCCTCCATCATTTTGCAAACCGGGCTACATCCATGTTATAGCTCGGTAGACTATCAACAGCAAAAGTGACATAAGCGTATCATGCAACAGAAACAACCACCCATGCCAAACACAGTTCTTTGTATAGTGGCAAATAATTTGCCTCAAGGCTTTTTATTAATCAAAAATCCTTTCAGCCCTACACTGCTTAGGACTGCCCAGTCTAATACTCTTATCCTCACTATTTCATTTTTTTTAATGCACAGATTGAAGAAATAGCAGGGTTTCATTTCACTGTCCAGGCCTGAGGACATTTACATGCTAATTTTAAGTCAAAGTAATTGCACTACCTACTGGCATTAGAAGTAGGCATTGTATGACAAACATCAAATGATTTACATGAATTTTGCATTTTGGCCTATCTGTGCTTTAACTGCAGCAGTTACAAAGATACTAACAAAAAACAAGAACAAAAGAAAACAACAACCAATGAAAGCTTTAAACATAACCAGAAATGGTCTGGTAGTAGAGTTACCACATTTGATCTATAAAAAACCGCGACATTTGGTTTGTGACGCCGGGTGTTAAGCCATATTTGCAAATATACTATGTTAACAGTTGTAGGACTCCCTATTGCCTCTCTTATCTCTGTCTGTCCAGAGGGATATTGCACAAAACCAAAATAAGGGATTAAGCCGGGATATGTTGGTTATCCTGGCTGAACTTAGCCTCAAGTCAGTTGCATGAACGCAGGTCAAATTTAACCCAGTCAAGTTACTATGGCGATTTATTCTCTGCAGCTAGCCTGCTCCAGACCAGGCTAACAACCAGGCTAAGATTAATCCTTGGGATTCATCTGGTAGTTTTACTGTCAATCCTGTGACAAATTCATGTGTTTTACAGCATTTCCATGGTTTTTCTAAATATGTTGCATCATTTTTCCACTTAGGTTAAATAAACAAATTTAGCCTATCTTCAATAAAAGATCTTATATGTTAATTTTTGCTGTGTATGTGCATTTTAACTGGCATTGGTAGCACACAGTGTGTGGTTATCTTTTAAATTCCACTTCACCAAATCAGTGGTATACCGCACATTCACGAAAAAGGGAGGACACCACAATGTTTTGTCGTTCAGTTGTTTTATTTCCCAGTCCTCTGTTGTCTGCTTGGAACCTGAAATAGAAAGCAAAAGTAACAACTATTAATACAGTGTATTACAGATATGGTTACAGTGTGCACTGAAATACTCTCTTCACTTTCTGATTTCTGGATTTCTGGATTTTTTTTTTGACTGCTGCAAAATACAGACATTCAATATGTCAGCAAACAGCTAATCTCATCACCTCATTTGTCTACACTAAAGTCACTTACCAGCCTGCAAAATGTTCTTGTATTTTATTTTCACCTGCTGCCACGTCCTTTTTTGCCCAGACAAGTTTGCTCTTTATGAAGAGTGGATACATAAAATAGACAAAGTGCACAACTTTTAATTAGTGGACTTGAAAAGTAACTAACTCCGTTAGTCCTTTAATTGTAATTATAACAGTTCCAGTTGAGTAGGCTACTTATACATTAAGCCGGTCCGCGATTGTTTGCCAGGCTTTCTTCCTTCCCTTGATTAGAGTACTGGTGTTGCCTTTTTTTCTTATAATGTGTTTCACCTCCTCATATGACTCCATTATGAGCTGCTGCTCAGCGGCTGTAAAATAGGAAGCGTGACTCTTATCCATTTTCCACTCTGTGATTTTGTGATCAATCTTGTGGTCTATTTTAGGGATGCACCGAATATTCGGTAACCGAATTATTCGGCCGAATATTGCAAAAAAACACACTCGGTATTCGGTGGAATAAGTGACAAGCAAGGCCGAATAATAGCGGCGTGTTTTGATAACGCAATCAAACAGCGTGCGGTGACGGACGGAATAAAATGTGTGGCGATATTTTCCTCCGTCCATCACCGCACTCGCATTTGCAACTAAAAATAGTTTTGTGCGAGCAAAATAAATCATTCAGCATGCTGTGCGAGTACAGATTTCAACCAGCAGCAGAAACGAAAGGCGAATCCTGCTGGTTGTGGGTTGAACGGGGGTCACAGACACAGACAGGAATGTATTCCTGTCAAATACAGCAGCCACAGTGCTCCGCGGCACAAGATAACGGCTTACCGGCAACAGAGAAGTCCGGCTCCAATAATATCCTCTTCTTGGCGTCATGACTGCCCAAAAGTACCTGGACAGCTGAGCCATGGCAGCACACAGGTATGTGACGTGTCAGAGGAGAAATGAGCGTTCACATTTCTCTCTTTGTGGCAGGTAACGGCCCACAAACCTCACCGCCCTTTAGGGACTGTTCTTTGCTTGTCAGGGGAGGAGGGTGGCTGGTTGATTTTTATTTTATTTATGCGAAATGCATTTAAATTGCAGTTAATTATTTCTCATAGACAACACTGTAAAAATTATATTGACAAAAAAATAACAGTGATTAAACAAGGCTTATAGAAATGGATTTAAACTTGGGCCAATGAAAACTAGACAACAGTATTCAGTATTCGGTACTTGGTATTCGGCCAAGCGTTTAATTTTATTCAGCTTCGGCTTCAGCCACAAATTTTCATTTCGGTGCATCCCTAGTCTATTTAAGAGTGCCGTGAACGTGCACTTATCCCAACTATCTACACCTGGCTTGACATAGCTGCACCTTTTCATCCTGGCTCAGCAACCAATTAATCCAAGATGCGCCGATTAGAGTAGGTCAAGCCGCGCTTGGTCCGTTATCCTGGATTTCTTTATTCTACTTTTGTGTAGTACCCCTCTGATGTGCAGCCATGCTGTTAACAGAAACAGCGGTTGCTCTTCTCTTTGACCATTTATGGATATAAGCTTCACTAACTCCACCTTACCGTTTTCTGAAGTCATAAGAAAAGTTATTAATGTACGAGTAATGTGAGTGTGCTGGGTTTATACCATGTCCAAAAACAGGAGCACATAATCTTCATTCAGTCTTTAATGGGTTAAAGAGACTGGTTGCCATGGACACCGATGCACAGATTGAGTACATCAGTGGCTGAAAACTGACTGATCACTGATCATAAAGTCGAAATACTTACAGAAACCTATAAACCCTTTGGTCAAGTCGTTTCAGAGCGATCCAGACTTTTGATTTGTCAAAACTGACGTTAGACATCTTAATCATCCCAACAGCAGCACAAGACATGAGTAGCCTAGCTGTGACATGGGTCAGGGGCTTTCAGAATAAAATCATCTCTGCACTCCAATGTGTGAGGTGCAAAGCTCTGACAGGAGGGGAATACCCTCTGACATTCTAGATTAGAGGTGCATTTCCACAAAAAACTGTGACAATTTCTGTACCGGGAAAAAATAGTCATTTTTCAGGGAATTCGCTCAAAAAAGAGAACAATCGCAGGAAAAACAGAATGTGTGGCAACCCTATCCATCAGGGTTTTGATTAGAAATTAGGGAGAAATTAACATTTGCAAACAAGATTACATGTATACCTAAAGTCAACATGTAGCTACATGTAGCAGTGTATGTAATGTGAAGAATTGCAGTAGCGTGCCTTTGGGACAGATGATCATACAAAGAAATCCATCATGAGATGGTGTCAGCTTGTAACCAAAGCAGAAAAAACAGTGGAAACAGAATATTCAGATCGGTCTGAAGCCTGAGGTTTTTCTTCACAGGGATTACTTTTATATACATTTACCTCATTATATTGGTCATGTTAAATCTGACATTGTAACATTATATCAATGACAGAATTGAAGGAAAAGCATTGTAGGCCACCTTTAACTTAACCTAACAAAACTTATATGTCACTGTTGAGTTTTTAAAGTAATGTGATTTTATTTCCTTTTACAGTAGATAAAACCATATCCATTTATTTGGTTTTCTGCAACTCTGTTTCAAGCAAAATGATAAATTACACTATACACACCAAGTCCTGATAACTGTTTTTTTCCCTGTGTGATGAAGTCATTATAAACAAAGTGTGCTTCAGTTTCACAGTGTTGCCAGCTCATCCCGTTGGTTCGGAGGCCAACAGTCGCCCACATCTATCAGCTGTGTTCCTTTTTTTTTTTTTTTTTGAGTCAGCTTTGGTTATTGTTGTTGTTGTTGTTGTTGTTCAGCTCATGCAGCTCTTGCTTTCCTTTTCTCTCTCTGCAGATATTGACATGAAGAAAGACATTGAGACTCTAATAGCAGAGGAACGTGCTGATATCATCTTGAAATATGCTACGGTGAGTTTGTGCTTTTAGCACACAGAAACAGTGTCTTTTATTCAGTCCAGATGGATCATGTGGTTAAATATTTTCTACAGCATCGTTTTAGATTTATAATGGAGCACAGATGTATTTGATTATTTTGGATACATGAACTGTATTCAATTAAAGCAGCTGTAAAAATAGCTATTGAAATGTGTCTCTGATTTTATTGTGAAGTATTGTAACAAGAAGTCATATCATCCCAGCTTTAGTTAGCATCTATTGTTGATAATGTTATCTGCAGTCATCAGCGTTTTGTCGAATGAAAACATTTGTTGTCAGTGTTTTATAGTACTGCAGGCTGAGGAGGATTTGAGAAATGTGCCAGACATATGGCTACATTATCTCCTGTGATGTGTGTTGTTATTCTTTAGGAGCAAGAGTTCACACTTGGTTGATTTTGTGGTTAACAGGCACACTGAGATGTACGAAAGCGTAAATTCAAATGTGTGCAGTGTGGTTTGTGTGCAGTGCATTTCTGTATGTGTGGAGGACAATACTCTGTGAATGCGTGTGTGTACTGTAGTGTGGGTGGATGTGAGTAGTACACTGCCGGGGTACATTAATAACACATTGTGTAATAATATGTTTGTGCCTGTGGTTTAATGGGATTGGAGAATGATGACCAGAGATAGGAAATCTGACTGAAACTGAAACTAGCATTAAAACCAGGAATGAAAAACAAAAAAAATTGGTCAATAACTAAAACTAAATGGAGATGATGAAGTTTGCCTCCTTTCTTTTCAGTTTTAGTCTTGAGCCAGTCGCCCCAGTGAGTCTACTGTGTCCCATGTGTCCTACTTGTTAACGTGCCATCCTTCTCCATCCCCTGGGTCCGGACCTAGATGCTGCTCTATCCGGACCCAGACCTATAACCAATACATTTTGAGAATTATTAAATGTTGATAATGCGTTTCTTTTTTACCAAGTGCAGCATTGTAGCAATGCAGACCAGGAAACTCACAGACCACTGGCTTACTACTCAGCCAAATCAAACCAAATCTTTGCATTCCAGTAAGCACTGATGAGTGAGTGAGATACACACACAAGACAGAGCTAGAGATAACAGTAAGAGACAAGTGAGTCGGAGCAAAGTAATATCACATGGCCTGTGTTAAGTAGACGCTGAAAACAGAGCTTTTAATCAAGAATAAACAGACTCTAACATGTTCATTCTTTCTTTGGGCAGTTCAAATCTAGTATGTGTCATGATATGTTTCGAAACTGTGGCGATTATTAAAAGCAGTAATGTGAAGTGTCACCATGAGACAAAGCGCAGAGCATTTTTTCAGCAAACATACTCACTGAGGGCTCAGAAAATAAAATATGGCACTGAATCAGTGAATTATAACGCAAGTTAGCATTCAGAGGAGGGTGTGTTAGGGGGTTGTCCCCACCTGTTATAATTTAACATATTGCCTACTGAATATCTGATACTGATGTTGAGCCAATCACAACCAAAAACATCACCCTGTTTTTAGATTTTAAATAGCCTACACCTGCCCACACTGCACCCATCTTCATATCGATCTCACACTCTATGTAATCCTCAGTCCTGATCAAGATCCTGAGATGCTTAGACTCTTTCACTCATCAGTCCATCCAGGATGTTATGATGTTGCAATTGCAGTGAATAATGCAAATTCAGACAATCCCTGTGAATTCTGTGCAACCTTGCAATTTTGTCTAATCACCACAACTTACCCACAAATCTGACTTATGAAAAACGGGTAAAATCTCATTTCATTGGGGAGCTGCATGCAGCGAATTGATTTACTCACTGTGTTTATCATGAGACTACTGCTGCGAGACCAGAGCTCTGTGCCTGAGAGTCACACACACACTGTGACAAGGCTAACTGTTAGCATCACACGGGACACGGCTAATGTTACCCAATGGTTATAAGCAGGTTTAACAACAGAGTTAAGCAGTTTTGGTATCAGTGTGAGATTAGCGGCTCTTTGTCAGAATTTAGCTGCTGCTGCGGGACCTCTGCCCAGACGGCAAAATATGGGATGTGGTGCCCCACCTCCCCACCATCATAAATAGATTCTAATTCTGGGAGAAACACTGAAGGCAGGGAGCAGCAGCAAAGACCCCCTGGGAACAGAACAGAGCAGCATCAATGACAAACAGAAATGACATTGATAAGTCAGACACAACATGAGAAGGAGGAGCTGGGGTGGAGGCGGGTTGCAAAGCAGCTTGTAGAGAAAGCAGCAACAGTAGGCAGGCCAAAGCAGTTTAAACAGGGCGCCCCAAATGAGATTTACTAATTGGTTACATAGAGAGGAATCATGATATATCAGCTGACTCCCATCTATCAGTCAGCTGATCCATCAGTTGATTGGGCTGATTGAGATGAGCAATAGCTCGTAGCTGGGATGTGTGCGGTGGTTGACATCATGTCCTACCTGAACTAACACTATGTTCAATTAACCTTAATTTGGGGCAGAATCACAACTTTTTTTGCAATTTTACTTGCCCCCACAACAGTTCCAAAAACAGCCTGCACAATCCTGGAGGGACTGACTTTTGGTAGCTACCATAGACTGTATAAAGGTAGCAATCCAACCACAACCCAACAGTATCATGGCTTCAAATGTTGAGGAGCTGACTAGGGTTGCAACTGTATTTTCCTGATAGGAAAATTGATAGTTATCATACTGTGTACATTAGCTTATCTGTGATATTGAAAAAAATTGCAACTAAACAGATAATCTCAATTTTATTTTAGTTATTTGCAAAAGGGAGACTTTTTACACGTAATCCCTTAAAAAATCATTTCAAGTTTCAAAAATACTACTAAAATGTTTGTTCAACCAAAAATAACCCTTCCATTTTAAGTCCTTTAAGGGTCATTCAGACTGACAATAACTGCTATATTTTCTGAGACGGTTATTGTACTGTGAAAATCTCATACCATTGCAACCCTATAGAGCTGACTCTCATCCCAGCTACTTTACAACTCAGCTTACTGTCAGAAGCTCTTCATCTGCAAAAAGCAGTGATGCCATATTGAGATCACCATACTGGACACACTTTCCACAGGTCGACTGTGTCTACAGATTCATGAAAATCATGGAATTAGCATCAGTAGACACCCTCAGCACAGTCCAACACCTCCTCAGGATGCATTTGATTTGGACCAGAATACGCAAACACAACTCTCACTTTGGTTACTGTGAGCCATTCAGTAGTGTGCAACAGCCCCAGCATCCCACACTGTTACCTCACAAGATACAATGGAGGACATGTAGACTATATAGGCAAACTCTTGTGACCCCTCTGGTACCTGTAAACTGGAAAATCTTATAAAAAAAGTGGTTATTTTCTGCACATTAACAGCATGTAAGCAGCTACATTTTGGTTGGTTTGTGCGGGGGTCTGTCTTTTCTTCATTACATTTATGTTGGATCTCTCAGGTGTTTAGGCTGTTCTTTGTTTTTATACTTTGTACTGTAATACTCTGCACCTTTCTTCGACAGTTTTTGCACATTTCGGCATAAACTACCACTAATAAATGCATAGCTCTTTCATTTTAATTCAGAAATATAGCACATATTTTTTAAAATATTTTTCACGTCTTTGTTTATGTTATGTCCTAATGCACCAAAGCAAATTTCTTTTATGTGAAAACCTACTTGACAATAAACAAGATCCTGATTCTGTTTTTATACATGTATTTAAGATGAGCATGAAAACAGATGGAAACATACTATATGTGAAAACAGTGACATGCATTATTTCTCTGTGTTTCTAGGTGTTTTGTCAAAATCTGCCAAGCAGCATCATGTTATCATGCATGACAGAAACAAACACTATCATATTCCATAATAAAAGCCATGATGCATCTTTGCTCGGAGCTCACCATGGTGAACATGCTGATGCAGAGTTGAACGGTGGAATGGAGACAGTGGCAGCCAGAGGTTAAATTGAGCTCAGCAGCTTGGGGCAGAGAGGTGGTATGGGGGGGTAGTGGTGGTGGGGGGTTTACTCTGTCTAGTCACAGCAACAACTGTGACACACTGTGTAGCGATTGACTTGACATTGACCTCTGGGGGCTGGCTGAAGGCCCGGTCATCGTGATTTCTGTGTCTGGATGCTGTTTTCCGGCCACATGCACAGCACAGTGCAGAGAGGAAGAGAGAGCAGGGCTGGAGAAAGATCAACCCCACACCACTGCTGTAAAAGCCTGCCACAGATACATGTAGGTTCAAGTCTTTTATGCAGGTTTCAGAAAGACCAAGCTAACCTTGCTTCACCTGTCTTGCTCTGACGCATCCTGCTCTCTGGCTCCCTCTTATTCTGCTGAAACGCATTCAAGGCCAGCAGATAATTTGAACTGTGAGTTTGTCATACACATATTAAACAAAAAAACAGAAAAGAAATACATTCTCTGAAAAAAAAGTTGATTCTTAGCCTTTTAAAATGGAGTGTTATGGCTTGAAAATGAATGCATTTCTTCAGTTATTAGCAACGCTGGACTGGATCTTTGCCCTATTTTCCCTTCTGAGCTTTTCTTACTGCATAATAGAATATCAACTGATCTGAAAACACTTAATCTGAAACTGCAGATGAAAGCTGAATGTCAGAAAACTAATGTAATATTAGATGATATGCATCATTTGCAAACATTTTGTCAAAGGTGTATATCGTTGGATTTATTTTTGCACTAGTCCTGATACACTACCTGAGTTTTAATGCCAATACATCAGCAATGTCTTTTGCAATGCCTTACCTTAAGATATAATTCAGTTTGTTTTTCTACAAAAACCTTTTCCTTTAAACAAAAGATGCCAAATTGATGCCAAATTTATGAAATGCTAAATGTTGTCTAGACATATGCAGCCTTACCTTTGACTATGTAAAATACAGTCTAAAACTGGCAAAATTTTGAGCTTGAAGGTTCATTGTAGTTGCAGGATAAGCAGTTTGAAAAAAGGGACCTTTTTTTCTGATGTTATAAGCAATGTCACATGACTACTAACCTCTGCTAAGAAGTTTTGGTAAAACCAGGCAACTGGACCATGACATTTTTGTCAAAGTTTGATTTAAATCCATAATTATTTGACACAGGTCAACACACATGAAGATGCTGCCTCTGTGCAGGCTTACATATACTCCTTTTCCACCCAAATTAGTGTGTGTACACACATTTTTTAAACACAGCAAAGCACGCTAAATATAGGCTACAGACGCCTTTCCTAATGCCAGCAGACTTAAGCCGGGTACACAGCTCTGCAGCAGACAAGCATACCTTTCTGGTTTTCTAGCTGGTGTGTCTTGTTTAACATCACGGATAGGCCGGTGTTGTGTCGAGGACTGTTTATCCCTCAAAATGTGTTTCCCCTCCGCCTAAACCTGACCCAAAACCTGAGGCCTATCATTAACCACCAAGGGGGGGCGCTACACATTAACAGGGGGGAAACACTATTTGATGGGGGACTGAATTTCAATTTCAACCCAAAAACAGGTTAGTAAACAGTAGAAAGCAGCACGGGGGCCAGTGAAAATGTGGTTACTTTGGTAAGTATATATATATAGGAGACTGATGGTATTTCGCGGTGGTGCGGCATTGCATCTTGCTGGCAAAGGGGCCACAAATAACTCACGTGGGTGTTGTATTTCCATCACTGCCGTTGGATCCGGAGCGGATAAATAATACCTGTAACTACCGCAGAGTCATTTCGCCCGGGTGTGAATGCTGATTGTAACCTTTCCTATTACATTAAAAAGACAGATGTTAGCAGGTGTTAGTCGGATTTTGTGCAGTAAGAAAGGGGCTATAGACGCCATGGGAATGTGATATCTTATCTGTCCTTCACCTGACCAGACATTTGATGCCAACCTTTGGTACTGGACAGTTTTTGATACCTATGTTTGTTACTGGAGAAGCATTTAGGTTTTATACCTACACCCAGCCCAAACAGCCATCCAGTTCTACAGAGCAGTGATACTCAACTTACAGCCGGAAGTTTCACAATGAAAATAACGTGAATTACACTGGGATTTTTTTTTTTTGTTCTATCAATGTAAAAAGGTTCCAGAGTGTAAAAAAAAACATAAAAATAGTATTTATTTATTTATTTATTTTAAACCACTGGAGGATCCTCTCGGTAAAGCAAGTTGAGTATCCATGCCACAGAGGCGTCTGAGTCCATAGCTAAAGGTTCAGTTCAAGAAAAATGACATTTAGTTTCTTCTTATATCTTAAACTGTGAATTGATTTATTTGTTGAATTCTATTTTTGAATTCAGTAGTACTAAATCATCATGACAGATTTATATTTATGTGGCATTGATCTCCTTCTGTAACACTCTGTGCCACTCCAAACACCCTCAGTGAGGAAGTATTTTTAGTCCTCTCACTTTCATGACGGTGACATCACTTGCAGTGCCTCCAGGGCTCAGAGTGCCAACTCAACCATGAAGAACCTGAACAGTTTGTGTATGCACACTCTGACCCTCTCTCCCCGTGCTGAGAGCAGGAGGCTGATTGGCTGCCTTCCAGACATGCAGCCAACCATGCAGCAGTGTTGTTATGCAGAGCGGTGTGAGAAGACCTCTGGTAGGCTGTCGAAGGATTAGTCCCCCCTCTGTTATGTCAACACTGGGACCACATTGAAGCCTAAATGGATTTTCCATGATACAGACATCACTCCTAAACTTTGTGCTGCTTAATGCAGATTCTGAATGCATGTTTGGGTTGGACGGTTCTACTGTAGAGAGCTACTTGCTGATACAGTTTGACTTATTACAGATGTTTATGTTTAAACCTTTTAGGGTTGTCAAAACTGTCACTGCTGCATTTAAGTATGCCTCCTGTTTTTGGGTGTGCATGTGCACTGTTATAGGTGTCTGACTGTGTGTAAATCTTAGTAAATGCAATGTAAATGGATGTGCATGCAAAAGCATATGTGCCAATGGTAATCAAAAAAATCGTATTCTTTTTAGCCATAGAGATGGCAGTGGTTTGGTGTGTCCACCTCTTTGATCATGATACATTTGACAACTATTGGATAGATTGCCATGAAATGTGGCCCAGACATTCATGGTCCCCAAAGGATGAATCCCAGAGACTTTGTGACCCTCCTACTTACCACTACCATTAGAGCAACATTTACACTTGCTCAACACTGCAGTTCATGACAAGATAGCTAAAACTAATGACCAAATGTCACAAGCTAACCATATTCATCACTGTTGTTACCATGAAACATAGCCTTGTAAAAGGATAGCATTAGCATGTGCTAACTGTTGATGCTTAACATGGTAACACTAACATTGTTATGTAGTGGTAAAATACACATCTACATTGCTGTTGTTAACATTAGCATGCAAACATGCTGAGCAGAATGGCTGAGCCTGAGTAAGAAGCTAAGGCTGATGACAGATGAGTTGAACCTGAGATGTCCTAAAATGGCTACCGTAGAGAGGATAAACCCTTCAGAGGAACAATAGCCTATGGCCTTTCTTTGAGCAACAGCATCAGGAAAACCCTCTCATTCTCTCCTCATTATTCATCAGAACAGCAAAATTGCCTTTTAATTATTTACCTACCCATCGAACAATAAACCTGCACAAATAAAACCAAAAAACAAACAAGTGAAAAAAAGGCATTTGCAGGTTGAGCCCGTTTTTTTCGGCCCAAACGGTATGTCTAAAAGTAATAACCACCTCACGTTGTTTCAGTCACATTTGCACACTGAATCCAAACTTTAGTCAGTCATTAAAGTTTTGGGAACAGGGTGGATTTTCTGTGTGTTTCGCATCCATCAGAAGCCTTTAGAGAGCAGTTTGACCAAGAATCAGGGAAGAAAATATGGCAGCGGGACACATCTGTGACAAGACAGAGGAGCAGGTCGCACAGTATCCTTTCATAACTCAAATAGCTCACTTTCAACAGGTCAGATAGTATTATTCAGGTGGATGATAATGAGGAGGAGGAGGAGGAGGAGGAGGATGTGGACCTGCACAGACACAGAGAGAGACAGTGTAGAAACAGAGACGGAGAACAGCTCAGCCCCTTCGTGTAGCTTTGGTGCCAAATGGAAGACACAGGGAGAAAGAGTGGCGACAGATAAATAACTCCAGTGGAGAGAAGCAAGAGAGGAAATGTGTCTTTCCATTTTGTCTTGCATTGTAAATTTTCACAAGGCATAGAGCAAAAAAAAAAAAAACACATTGGACTCAGTGTGCAGGGTTTTTTGCATTTTTGGGATCTTTTCAGATGATGGATTAAAAAAACACACAGTGTGCAAAGGCCTTGATTCTTAAAGCACCTGCAAAGGGTCAACTGTGCTGCCAAGCAAATAGCATCTCGGTGCTCCTGTGCTATTTGAAATGTTTTTTAATTGGGTAATATGCACACATTAGGTCAACAGTCTTTATGCAAATGAACCTCACTACAAAAACAGTCCAATTCACAAAGATTACTGTGAATAGTCACACACAGTTACAGTGAAATTATTAGCTTCTTTGGATAGTTGGTGCTAACTGAAGCACGTTTACTGTGTAAGAGGTGTCACGCCCAGACTTAGGGACTAACAGAAGTTAGCTTTGGAAGTGGGTGTCACTGAGGCTACAAAATTCATTTTTTGACAGGAAAGTTCAGTTGAACACTTTCTACTTGTATTGTGTGCATGCATATTTTTCTGTGTGTAACGCTGTGTGTGTTTGTGTCTGCAGGGCAGGCAGGGTGGGGTGGAGATTGACCCGTGGGAAGATGCTGACTACAGTATCTACAAAGTCATCGACCGCTTCGGCTTCATGCAGTAAGACTGGGATTGTTTTCCTTTTCACATTGGGGACAGCAGTCCTTCCAGTTGGTGGATCCATGTGGTGATCACTGATGGTTTGTGTCTTTTACTTTTTTTCCAGCGAAGACGAGCTGCCAGCCCTGACTGCACATGAAGAAAAGGTAAAGAAAGAAACAACACAAAGCTCTAGAGCTAATGGTCATAAAAAAAAACTCTGTTCAGTGAGCAGAGATGGAAGTCAACTGCATTTAAAGTAGAGCAGCAGCAGTAGGTTGCCAGCAATGTATGTGCTCACCTGTTCCTCTCTCCTTCCCAGAGGAAGCAGCTTGAGATAGAGAGGGCGGAGAAGTGGCTGAAGATGGTGAAGAAGTGGGACAAATACAAAAACAGCGACAGGGTGAGTAACAGGCCGCACGTACCAGACCAAATACGTCTGATAATTCTGATTTAAATTGGCTTCACTGCTGGAGAGTTGCTGACAAGTATGTAAAGTGGGGGCTGGTTTCCATGTGGTCAGTGAGACCTGTAACTATTAGGTCACACAATGAATCACAGCAGTACTGTTGGTGTTGAGTCCAATTACAGTTCACTGAATTCCTACATGCTCACTCATTCTAACGTAACCTCTAAAATATGAGGCAAACTAGAGGATATTTGGAGAAGGAAACCTCTAGTTCTCTAAATCTCACTCAAAAACATGACTATTCTTACATTATAAATTATTATCACTGTCTAATACATTAAAGCTCCACTAATATTTCTCAAATTAGCTCCTTTCAAAGTATACATAAACCCTATGCAATGTGAATTAGTTGCTTGTGACAAGCCCACAGTGGAATACCAACTCTGCAGCTCTGTAGAGCTCTTTAGCCTGTTTAGGCTGCTAGATTTGGTTTTGTTTCAATCTCAGCAGCACTCTCACTTCCAACAGCAGCAGGCAGCTTATTTTCAACACAGCAGCCGCCCTCTTGGTTTCTCGGATAAACTGACTGAACACTACCTGAAAGTGGAGCATTTAGCAGCTAAAGAGCCCGATATCTTTCACAGGAAACAGAGCTATAAGGAGAATTAGATGTATATTTTTCTAATGATCATGTGTGTGTGTGTGTGTGTGTGTGTGTGTGTGTGTGTGTGTGTGTGTGTGTGTTGTAGATGAGTATATCAGCATTTTGATGAGCTGGACAGTCAGAGGACACAGATCAGGGATAAGTCATCCAGAAACTATAGATTGACGAGGACAAAATAGAAAAATAATATTTTTTTCAATGGTCTATTGAACCAGTTTCTCCTCCATTGTTTACCAACTGTAAACTTGTTGCAGTGACCATTACAGAAGACCTGCGTCTCAAATCATCTGATTGGACAATGGGAAAAGAGTGGAGATGATGTGGGGCACTTTTCTGCTCTACTTTTTTCAACTTGGGTTCAGAGCGCTCCGGCACATATGCTAGTTGCCTAGGGTGCAGAAACGCGAGGTGCAAGCAAAAAGTTTCAGTCTTTTTAAAAACAATTGCAAAAAGCCGCCTCCAGCTGCTAAAACACTTTCTGCATGACTGGGGCTTTATTCAGTGTTTTTAAGGGTTTAAAATACTGGGTCCATTTGTTTTGGAGAGGAGGGGAGCTCTGCTCATAATTTAGCCCCTGGTAAAAACCTCCTGAATGTCTGGATCTTAAGTTGTCAGAGAAAAAAGGTGAGCAGTGACTTGATCCAAGTTTGACATACACATACAAACCTGCTCATCTGTATGCTCATTGAATATGTTTCAAATGTGAAAAAGTTTTGCTTTGTTCCTGTGAATAGTGTCGTAGGCGAACCGTAGGCGGTTAAACTTTCCGGTGACTCACACTTCACAGCATCAGCTCTCTCAAAGACCTCTTGGCTTTTTTATTCACTCCGTTTTTATGTCTTCTCCTGCTCTCTGCTGTCAGATGGTGAAACGGGTGTACAAGGGCATCCCCCTGCAGCTCAGAGGCCGGGCCTGGGCTCTGATGCTGGATGTGGAGAGAGCAAAAACGGAGAACGAAGGCAAATATGAGGTGTGAACTCCATAATGTCAAACAGCCTGCGCAAAGTTTGTGAAATGAATCTCTGAGTCTCTTTGAAAATACAAATAATGTTCTCTGTGCATAAAAAAATGTCTGTTGTATTCATGCACACTCCAAACATTTTTTTAAACTATTAGCTTTAAACATTAAGCCTCCCTGTGGATAAATGTGGAATGAGCTACTAAAAAAGCTACATTTCCATCACTTCCGCCAGGACTATATGTCTCTGATTAGCTTGCCTGGCAGATGGGCACTTCTGAACACATCTGAACTGACATGTATTTAACCTTCCACCCATCACAACACTAGCCAGATTAACAATATATACAGACAGACCTGGCTTTTCACCAAAGTGGACTGGATTATGTTAGTGAGAGGAAAATAAACACAGGGAGATGTGATGGAGATTAGGAAATTATTAAATCAACATGTTTTGATATTTTATACACGTTTTAGCACATTTTTCAGTTTTTTTATCTAAGGTAAAATAAAAATACACTAATGCTCTAAATTTAGAGGTGCATCAATTTATTACCCAATATCACAAAATAAAGATTACTTTATGTTATATCAAATTATTTTGATACGTGTGAGACTTAAAGGAATACTTTACTTAATACGTGTATAGATCAGTTACTCACCCTGTCTTACACTGAATTTGTGAAGAAAACACAAATCTTGCATGCCGCCATGGTGACCGAAGAATCTGAAAACTGAGAAAATTCTTGATGAACTGCAGTAAAAGCAGTCCACTTGTAACAACAGCAAAACTATATCAAAACATCCGTTTACAGACTCTCACACAACTCACACAATGTAATCCAAGTCTCATTTATGCAGTTGTATGCTCTGTACTTCACAGACAGTGTATTTCAACGTGGAACTGAATTAAAAGTGAAAGTTATCTATACTCATTTCAAAACCAGACTCCACTGACAAAAACAGTAATTTAACCTGAACATGGAGGCTGCTGGTTTACTGCTGCCATGATCAGTTAGTTTTCTTTTTTGCCTTTAATCGATAGGAAAGCAAGGTGTGGGGTGGGTAGAGAGGGAGGGAGCGACATGCAGCAAGGGGCCACTGGCTGGAATTGAACCCGGGCCGCTGTGGCAACAGCCTTGTACATGGGGCGCCTGCTCTATCCACTAAGCCACTGATGCCCCGGCAATTTGGATCAAGTAAAGTCACAAAATAAAACAAACTAACATACTGATTTAGCCAGCGGAAGAACAGCAACTCCCATGTTCTGCAAGTTTAAATTATTGTTGTTTCACTTTTAGTTCGGTTTCTCATCATAAAGCGCTGTTAGTGAGATACTGTGCATATGACTGCATGAGACTTGGATTATACTGCACTTGTTGTTTGATATTTATAACACATTTTTTTAAATACAGATTTGCTGTTATTAAATAAATATGTACCCCTTTTACTTAAATTCATATAAAAAAAATTCTTTATGACTTTAATGTAAAACATGGTGAATATTTCATATGCAAATGATCATTTTTAGGGTTAAGTGTTCCTTTTATGTGCAGACAGAAACTACTGAATATAATACATTTCTGGAAAGTGATATTTTTTTTCAAATATGAGATACATTCTTTTAAGTCTGTAATTAAAATTTAATGAGGTACATTATTTTTGAGTCACTTGCTCTTGTGACTGTGTGAGCCGTCCTTGTTGACTTAGCTCTTTGTTTCCACTCAGACAATGAAGGAGCAGGCCAGACTGTACTCATCTGAGATCAAACAGATCGACCTGGACATCAACAGGACCTTTCGAAACCATATCATGTTCATGGATCGCTTTGGAGTCAAGTAGGTTTCACAGTGTACAGATGCAAAGCACTTTTCAGTCTGATTTTCCATCTTTAATTGATTACCATTAAAGATCTCAATCACTTTACTGAAAACATGTTTGTTTCTTGACTGCTTTGCTTTGACATCAGTGAGGTTTAACTCATAAGGAATTAAAAGAGAGCAGATCAATTGTAATAGTTCTGGAATGTCTTGTTGTGTGTCCACGTACTTTTGGCTACATTTTGTATATCACAGTGCTCATTTCCAGGTCGCAGAGTTCACCAATTTGAATTTAAAAACACAAACTGTTCCACATCTGTGGTGGAGACTTTGATTCTGTGACCTCAATGTGAACTGAGTGTGAGAGAGGTGGGAAGGCTGTGTTCTGGATGGCGTTGGGTTTGTGTGGAATCTGATCCCGTCACAGAGTGATGTCACTGACAGTTTAACAGACCACAGGCCTGTTCGGGAGCGGCAGTGGAAAGTCTTGGGCAGCAAAATGTTTCAATATTTAACAGGAGTGGAGCGGCCCTGCAGAAATGAACCTTTTTATAGAGACAGAGAGTAGCGTCTGTGCTGTAGAGCTGTGTTCTCTGTTTCTGTTCTTTATGTTGTATGTGTTCAGTGCTCTCTGTGTCTGTTTCCTTTGGGTTCGCTGTGTTCCCTACACACTTTGAAGTCTGTGTTTTGTTGTCTTTTCTTTCCTGCTTTCTGTTTTTTCTGTAATCTTTGACTTCTACATGCTCTGTTCTATTTTCTGTTTTGAGTTCTCTATCTTCTGTTTTCTCCATGTTCTTTGTGTTCTCTCTGTCATTTTTTTACTCCCTACTTTGTGTTCTTTGTCTTCTGTTTATCCTGTTCTGTGTTCTCCTAATCATTCCATTGTCTTTATGTTCTTTGTCTTCTCTGTCTTCTTCTCTTTTTTCCTCTGTGTTTTTTGTTCTCTGGGTTCTGTTTTCTGCTATTTGTGTTTTATATGTTATGTTTTTTTTTTCTCTCTAATTTATATTATTTATGTTTTTTTATGCCTCTGCACCGGCAATAGCCACGGCCGGAGGCATTATGTTTTCGGGTTGTCCGTCCGTCCATACGTGCGTCTGTCCTTCATTTGCATATCCATCCTTCCCATTCTTGTGAACGTGATATTCCAAGAAAACTTTCAAGAAATTTATTTTAATATGGCACACATGTCCAATTGGACTCAATGATGAACAGATTTTGGTGATCACAGGGCAAATGTCAAGGTCATTATGACCTTGTTTGTCTCATTCTCGTGAATTGAATGTGATACCTGAAGAACACCTTGAGGGATTTTTTTTTTTTTTTTTAAATTTGGCACAAACGTCTACTTGGACTCAATGACAAACTGATTACATTTTGTTGACCAAAGGTCAAGGTCACTGTGATTTTGTATTTTGCCTCATTGACATATACACAGTATCTCAAGAGCACCTTAACAGATTTATTTTTTTTAATTTGGCACCAGCATCCGCTTTGATTCAAGGATGAAATGATTAGAATTTGGTGTCAGAGGTTTTCTGACACTTTTCTGGCTATTATTCAAATTCATATCTCAGGAACAGAAGGGAAGGAGAGACATTTGGTCAGATACTGAATTGGTGACTCTAATCTTGGGTGTGCACCTTGAAACTGTGCTGACTGTATAGATCTTCTGTGCATCCATCACAGACATGGATGTAAACTGTAACTACAACTTGATGAGTTCACGAAGGCATACACCTACAAGGCAGTTCTGGTTTCTCTGTGTTTTGCAGTGTCTGTGTTGTGTGTTCTTCATGTTTTCTGCATTTCATCTTCATTTTGTCTCACAGGGTCACTGTGTTTCAGATAGTTTGTCTGTTTGTAACACTGTCCTGTTTAAACAGTGCAGAGTGACACCTCCTGTGGACAGCACTACAATCTGAACTGCAGCAGTACATCTGAAGTCTCTGGCTGTGTCTGAATCTTTTCACATATTTACCATTTACCATTCAATACACAGGGAATCCTGTATACAGTAGAAGACTATATACTAAACCCAGTTTTTACTTTTACTTATACATGTTGTCGCAACACATTATGGTAGTTAGCTTTTAGTAACCATAGAACATTAGGCACTACTTTTTATTTTTCACTGTGGGATAATATCCCACTATAAAGTCCACTGTGTGTGTTTAATAATTCTCTCTAGACATGTGGACAACAATTAAATGGCAGACACATGGGCCAAACTGGACACAAATATGTGTCTCATCATTCCAGAATTTTGTGAATAAGTCACTCTAACTCACTCTCAAATCTTTCTTCTTCTCTCATCTTGTTTCCTTGTCATTCTCTCTTCTCTACAGGCAGCAGTCTCTTTTCCATGTTCTTTCTGCATACTCGGTCTACAACACAGTAAGTAGCTGTTATTCCTTCCTCACAGAAAACACTGAAATACCAGTTTAATTTGATTTAACTGATAAAAATCTGGATTCTATTCTGAGTTTTCTTTTCCTTAGCCGAGCAGAGACTTTATGTGCTTGTTTCCCGCGAGTAGCTCATTCTGTGACAGTGTTCAGCTCAGTGTAGAGAATCAAAGCCTGCTGATACAGTGCTCTTACTGTATGTATCCAATTACCAGCCTGCTTTCAGAGACTGCAGGCAGGACTTTATTATCATGGCACTTTGAAATCAACAGCTGGTGGGAAACAAATCTGGAGGTGGCTTTAAAATCATGCTGGTTATAATTTTCAGCTATTGAACGGTTCTACATATGAGATTCTGAACATTATTATGTCACCAAACCAGTATTTGCTATATAGTGGAGTGATGGCATCCTGAGCAAAGAATGACATCACACTCCTTCTGTGTGTGTTGCAATCAGAGCTTTTCTGTTCTTTGCTTTGGTAGCCGAGCCAGCTGCCCACACACAGTAGTGCATTTGAGTCCCTGCTTTGAAACTATTGATCTTCCCCACACTTATAAAGAGAATTAGGGCTCATTTATGCTTAATGCTAGATATGGAGATGGATGGAGCCTTCTGTGTGTACTCTGCGTTCATTTTGTCAGTATTTGTGCACGTTTTCTGAAAGCTTAGGGATATGGATAAAATGGAGCAGCACTGCTGGAGATCATGTAGGCAGTGTAACAAAGGGAGATATGGTCGTAGGAGATGACGAAGAAATACAAATAATAGTGGAATGGAATGACTTGGTAACACAGTGAAAAAAATTATCTGTCCACATGTTGGGATGTGGACAGATGTGGACAGCCATGTAACAACCATGTATATTTGTTGTTCATGTTCTGTGTCAACTTAAGCCTGTTACATGCATTATCTGTTTTCAAAATACACTGCCGTTTTCACAGGAAATGCACAGTTTACATTTTAAGATAAAAGCACTAACACAGTGAATTGCCTTTTTTTTTACTTTCATCAGCACGTGCACATGGTTACTATTTGCCTACACGCGGTGTGTGGTTGAGTTTAGGCAACAAAAGCAGTTTGAGTTTTGGCAAAAATAACAGGGTTTGGCTTTACATTCATACAGGAAGCGAACACCGGCCTCCCAGGTGAAAGTTGATGATTGTTGGACCCATCTGCTACCCCCCCACCCGCCCTTCTCAGACTTTCACCGAGTTAGCATTCGTTGTTGTCCCAGCACGTTTCCCCCGACACTGCTGTTAAACAATAAGAGACTTGACTCTGCCCTCTAGTGCCATCTATTGGCTGTCTCTATGACATCATAAAAGACAAATGGATGTATGAGGGCCGTGATGTTTACAATGCTTGAAAATGACATATCTATTTTCATACATAAAGGTAGTAAATGAGCCTTAAGAGAGTGACCCTCTGCACAGCAAGATGGCAGAGCGCAGTTCAAAGCTCTCAGCTGAAGAGTGAAATATACTGCATTGCTAGTGGTCTAAACATTCAAATCATCAAACTTTAGCTACCTTGAGCTTATTTTACTTGGCATTAGCAGGACAGCCAGCCAGCTTAAAGGTACATAGATTTCATTCGGCAGGTCAAAGTAATATCCCCGTACTAAGCTGAAAATTGTACTAATGTTACTAAAATCTGTACTCTGAACCCTAAGTTAATATTCCAACCAACTAAACAATAGCCAAGATGTACATCCTCTTGTCTGCCTGTTTTAGAGTATTTGTCACTTCTTATTCTTTCACTCAGAGATTTTTTTTCACCTGTAATATTTTCAGCTAGATAACCTACATGTGTGTACAATCAGAAACCACTAAAAGTTTATCAATAGAGAAAACTTCTCCTTCCAACCTTTCAGGAAAACGACGATCATCCTAATACATGCGCCCCAACAAAACAAACAAACAAACAACAAAACCAGACTGAAAATGGAGAAAATCTGAAACAATTGCATAATAAGTCTGTGGAGCATAGGCGAGTAGTTGTTGGACCCTTATCAGAGCTGGCCATTGCTACGCTATGATTGGCCAGGCTGCATTTGAGGGGCAGGAATCAGCAACAACATCCATATTTTGAAACATTGTCAACTGTCATGGCTACACAGAAGTCTGGACAGACATGGATGTAAATGGTTAGTGCAACTTGACTGGTTTACGGAGGCATACAGCTGTGAGGTGGTAATTCCAGTTAATCTCGTTGTGTGTTCAGGGGTCGCTTTCTCTCTCTTTGTTTTGGTTATGCTGGTACTCTAGTGCAGCATGTAGTGAATCTAAATCTTTTATAAAGAGCCTTTAACTGAGAACCAAGAAAATTGTACCATCACGCAACATCAATAATATTGGTACAAACTGTGGTTCAGGCCTGGGGTGAGGTGGTTTATAAAAACATGATACTTTTAGTCTGTCCCCAACTTGAAAAGCTGCTACAAAGGATAATAACACAGACTCTCCACCAGGAATTTGTATACCAAAGGTGATGAGTCACCAAGATTCTAATACATCTCATCTTGTGATCAATGTACAATAGTCAGCACTCAACATTGGTTGTCAGGAAACACTGTCAAACTCAGCTCACATCCCAGCTACATCAGTTGATCTCAAGCAGCCCAATCAACTGATGGATCAGCTGATTGATGAAAGAGAGTCAGCTGATAGATCACATGATTCCTTTCTGTGCAACCATTTGGCAGATTTCATTCAGAGCACCCTATTTAAACTGCTCTGGTCTGCCTACTGTGGCTGCTTCCTCTGCAAGCCACTTTGCAACCCGCCTCCACCCCAGCTCCTCCTTTTCATGTTATGCCTGACTTGTCAATGTCATTTCTGTTTGTCATTGATGCTGCTCTGTTCTGTTACTGCAGGGGCTTTGCTGCTGCTCTCCTTGCCTTAGGCTTTCCATGTAGGTGCATGGAAGGGCAGTGAGGTTTGCTCTCTCTGCCTCAGGCTGTCTTTGTATGCATGTGGAAAGGCAGAGAGGTGTGCTTTCTCCACCTTAGGTTTTCTGCACAGGCCTGAAGAGAGACACAGAGGCCCCAGAGCAGAGTTATTACTATATGTAATACTGCAAATGGAAATAAAGTTTTCTTTGACTAAAATGGTCATGACTGAACTTAGATTGTTCATCTTTGTTTAAACAACTTGAAATGTCAGTACATTTAAACCCAACTTCCCCTTTAAAAATACTTGTTTTTCATTACACAAAACAAAAACAATACTTCCTGTATGTAGCAAACATTAGCATCACCCTATGCTATGTAGATGGTGATATAGGAAGGTGCACAGCATGCAGAATAATTCACAGAGGTTTCCACAGCTACATTACCACAGTCCCTCTTTTGTGGACGACAGAGAAACACAGCTTTGCTGTGAATAGGGATGTCCACTCTGTACATTTTATTTCCATGAGATAACTAAAGGTTACTGATCCTGTGCCACACTGTGTCAACTCACAGCCAGTTCAGTCAGGAGTAAAACAGTTCTGCAGCAGTGGAAAAAGCCCAAGTGGGCTTGTCTTTCATTTTATCCTGTTGCCTGCAGGAGGTGAGCTACTGCCAAGGGATGAGTCAGATCGCTGCCCTGCTGCTGATGTACATGAACGAGGAAGACGCCTTCTGGGCGCTGTCACAGCTGCTGACCAATCAGAAACATGCTATGCATGGTAAGACGTCACAGTCAACTGATCTAACCATGAAAATAAAGGCATGTTTTCGGGACGAAGTGCTACTAAGAAAAATAAATAAATAAATGTTGAAGTCATTTTTTTCTCTCAGGGAAGTGTAACTGATTACAGGCAGCTTGTCGAGCATGAGTTGGACTCCTATTAAGTGGGATTAAGAAGTGCCTCTCTGCCCTCTCCTCTCTTTCCTCTGAAGGATTTTTTGTTCCCGGATTTCCCAAACTTCAGCGATTCCAGGCACATCATGATCAGATTATTTCCAAACTCATCCCCAAGCTAAAGAAACATCTGGTGAGGACACAGTCACACGAGAGTTTCATAACAGACCATGAGGGCAAAGAAACAACAATGCAGCAAGGATTCAAATTTGGGGTGACATTAAAGTGATTCACTGGCAGTTTGATGCCTTGTAGATATTTGCTGATTCTTTCTCATTTTATCAACACCTCTCTGTCTCTCTCTCTGCAGGACAGAGAGCAGATGTCTGCAGGGATTTACAGCACGAAATGGTTCCTGCAGTGTTTCATTGACAGGGTGAGGAACCTACTTGATTGATGCATTCTATCTTCATCCACTTCCCATCTGTCACTGTGTGTCTCACCTCCAGTTAATAACACAATTACATCACATTTAAAGTATACAATTGGACGGACGCTCAGAGCAGCTTGTCAGGCCGGTCATCTTACTTCATTATCTGAAGATAACAGTGCTAAACTTTAAAGTGTTTGATTAAAATAAATCTGATGTTTTGATGATATCAGCACCTGAGACAACTCTTGCCATATAATCCAAGTCTCATTTACTGAATAGCAGATTGCAACCAGCTAAAAGACCCAGCTAGAATTCCTTCAGTGTTTGTTGTTCAGGAGGTTTTTTCTGGGAGCTAATTTATCTGCAGAGGTCTCTTCCTCTCCAAAATAAACAGACCAGGTGATAAAAACTGGTAAAAAAAACACTAACTAAAGCAGTTTTAAGTTACAAATCAGCGTATCTCTGATGCTGTTTGGCATCTCGGTAGATGGGCAGCTCACCCACCATATGCTATCGTATGCTCACCTTTTTCTGATTCATACATTCAGGAAGTTTTTTTACCGTAAGCCAAATTATTATCATTCCTCTCCAAAACAAACGCGACTGGTGATTTAAACTGGTAAAACCACTGAATAAAGCAGTTTTATGTTAAAAATCTGTGCATCTCTGACATTTTTTGGCACGCCGGTGCGGGCGGCTCGTCCACCATTTGCCAATGTGTGCTCACCTTTTTTTCTACAATAACTTCCAGAAGATCAGGAGGTTTTTACCAGGATCCAAATTATCCAGAGGTCTCTTCCTCACCAAAACATATAGACTTAATGATTTAAACAGGTAAAAATACTGACTGAAGTAGTGTCACATTACAAACTGGTGTAACTCCAATGCTACTTGTTGCTGATGGGCTTTTAACTACAGTGGCCAAAGGGAAAATGGCCCCATCTAGAGCCAATGCTTGATTTGTCCATTCTGGGCAACAATAGAAACATGGTGGTGCAATATAGCAGTCTCCATAACTAAGGACCCAATTCACAACAATTCATTCTAAGCTAACAAAAACACAATGATTCTTATTTTAGTGTGATAATACAATAAAGAAAACATACATATTATATTATATAACATTTCTGCCAATTTATCCCTCTAAATCCTATACACTGGACCTTTCAATGGTAAGGTTTTAGCGAAAATGCAGAGGTTTGTGAAGTGCTGCGCATACGACTGGTTAAATGAGACTTGGAACATACAGCACGAGTTGGGTGATAGCTTGTAAACAAATGTTTTTTTTTGGGCTTTTTAGCCTTTAATGGATAGGACAGATAAGTGTGAAGGGGGGAGAGAGAGAGAGAGAGAGAGAGAGGGAGAGGGAGTGACATGCAGCAAAGGGCCACAGGCTGGAGTCGAACCCGGGCCACTGCGGCAACAGCCTTGTACATGGGGCGCCTGCTCTACCACTAAGCCACCGACGCCCCGTAAACAAATGTTTTGATATAGTTTTGCTGCTGTTAAACACAGCCCCCTATGAGTCCAATTCATCAAGAATTTTCTAATGTTTTTGATTCTCCATTCACCGAAGAGGCATGTGTGTGGTTGTGCTGCTGCCGTGGTCCTGCCTGATGCCTCCTGCTGCTGTTATCATTAGTCATACTTCTGCTGTTATTATACACATATGATTATTGCCACATATGTACACTATCAGATATTAATATATACTTTGAACATATTGTACCACAATAGCCTGTAATGTTAATTATATTATTACTTTCATTATTGCTGTTGTAAGCTACTGTCATTATCGTCTGTCCTACATCTCTCTCTCTCTCGCTTTCTGTCTCATTGTGTCATACGGATTACTGTTAATTTATCATGTTGATCTGTTCTATACGACATCTATTGCACGTCTGTCCGTCCAGGAAGAGGGATCCCTCCTTAGTTGCTCTTCCTGAGGTTTCTACCGTTTTTTTTTCCCCCGATAAAGGTTTTTTTAGGGGAGTTTTTCCTTATCCGCTGTGAGGGTCATAAGGACAGAGGGATGTCATATGCTGTAAAGGCCTGTGAGGCAAATTGTGACTTGTGATATTGGGCTTTATAAATAAAATTGATTGATTGATTGATGTGGAAAAAACAACAGAATTTTCACAAATTTAACACAACTCAGGGTGAATAATTGATATACAAATTATCATTTTGTGGGTGAAGTATTCCTTTATAATCCTTATTTCTGTTGACTATTGCTTGAAAACCAATCTGATATATACAGTAGCTGTGATTTAACCAAAATCCAGATCATGAAAACACATATACTGTTGCTGGAAAAAGGTTTCCTCAGAAAAACCAATTCTCTTTGTTATCATTGTACACTTTCAATTAGTGTGGATAACTGTTGAATGGATAGTTAACATTAGCAGTACCTTCCACCAAAAAGAAAAGATCCTGGCCTACACTGATGATTAATAGGTCATCTCTGGGATCCTAAAAACACAATAGCAAGTCATTACCAAGAATTACTACAATTAATATGTCAAATTGCCTTTTAAAAATACTTTTACATGATGTCTGCATTATTTGAGCTCAGGGATATTGCATTATAAGAGAGCATTAAGAACTGTTAAGTTAAACTGCTATTAGTCTCCTCCGTGCATGCCCACAATCCTGTGGTGGTGGTCTGGCAGGATTGAGCCGCTGTCAGCACTTCACTGTCCCGCTGAGTCACTCAGCTTAGAGGGGCCTGTGGGCCTCTGAGGTCTGGGAAGGAACCAGACAAACCTCCTGACTCCGGCCAGAAGGAGAACTGCAGATATGTGAAACCGCTAGCATAAACAAATTCAAATAAGCTGCAGCCATACAGTGACCGGTTGTGTTTGTGTTCCTGCAGACGCCGTTCACGCTGACTCTTCGACTGTGGGACATTTTCATTCTGGAGGGAGAGCGGCTGCTCACCGCTATGTCCTACACCATCCTGAAGATACACAAGAGTAAGGACATGACAAATAGTTCACCATGTGAAGATGAATCTTTATCCACTCAAGCTGTTTTTAGACCACAAACACATTGCTTAGCCCCTTTTATCTATTTCAACTTTTTAATATTTGAATGAAATAAAGAAATTTTGATGCTTTTCAGCTGTTGTTATGTTGCAGATCTGCAATTGCATGAATGCTGTCTAAACATAAGCAGCTGTTCAAATGAACTTTTTTCAAAATAAAACAATCTTAATTTTCCATCAGGAATGGTATGATTAATGAAAACATAATTATTACAAAGCTAAGCAAAAAGCATTTGAACTTCACACTTGCCACATACACATTTCAGTTGGTATCAAAAAGTATGAGGTTTGATAACTGGTTGTTGTTCTACACACCACCTCACAAAAATTAAAACATTCCTTACAGGAGAAAGAAGAGAAACATATGAGTGTAATTACACTGAAAACATGAAAAACCCCTTTATGAGGCTTATCCTGGTTATTATCATTTTCAGGATATGTTGTTTACATGAGCACAGTGTTAGTTCTGGCAGAACTCAGTGCCAAGCTCAGCTCACATCCCAGCTACATCAGTTGATCTCAAGCAGCCCAATCAACTGATGGATCAACTGATTGATGAAAGGGAGTCAGCTGATAGATCACATGATTCCTTTCTGTGCAACCAAATGGCAAATGTCATTCAAGGCGCCCTATTTAAACTGCTTTGGCCTGCCTCATGTGGCTGCTTTCTCAGCAAGCCACTTTGCAACCCACCTCCAGCCCAGCTCCTCCTTTTTGTGCTGTGTCTGACTTATCAGTGTCATTTCTATTTGTCACTTATGCTTGCTTGCTCTGTTCTGTTCCCGGGGGTCTTTGCTGCTGATCTCCCTGCCTTAGGCTTTCCATGTAGGCACATGGAAGGGTATAGAGATTTGCTTTCCTGGCTCAGGCTTTTCTCGTTTGCGCATGGAAGGACAGAGAGGTGTGGTCTCTGTGCCTTAAGGCATTTCACATAGGCACACGGAAGGGTGGAGAGTGCACACCTCTCCACCTCAGGCTCTCTGCATAGGCCAAAGGAAAGGCAGAGAGGCCCCCACCAAATATAATACTTAATTGGAATTTTTTTTTTTTTTTTTTTTTTGACGAAAGTGGTCAAGACTGAAATTGGGTTATTCATATTCCCTGCATACATCCAGGTTTCTTTTGGAGTACTCCAGCTAGCATATATTCCGGTTTCTTATAAACAGAATATGGTGTTTACATGCTGAAAAACATAAATAGGATACTCCAAAATCCCAATCATAAATGGGTTATTCATGTCCATGTAAACACACTCACTGATGACACTTAAAAGTCCACACTAGAGATTGTTTGTATGACTTAAACATATAAAGTGTGTGTGTGTGTGTGTGTGTGTGTGTGTGTGTGTGTGTGTGTGTGTGTGTGCAGAGCGGCTATTGAAGATGTCTCTGGAGGAACTCAGAGAGTTCCTGCAGGAGCGAATTGCTCAGACTTTCTTCTACAGCGACGACGTGATCATCGAGCAGCTTCAGGCCTCCATGACTGAACTGCGAAAGATGAAGCTGGACCTTCCTCCTCCAGGTACACAGCTGCACCGAAAGTACCTAATTTCCTACTGTCCTGTTTAGAATGACTGGAAAGAAATGGCTAGCCATGGCCACACACCACTGGAAAAAATAACTGGGGTCTAATATAACTGTATTTGGGTGGCTGTGACTAGGGTTGGGCGATATGTTAAAAATTTCCAACCGGCCACCGTCAGCCCATCAACCGGCGGTTGCCGATATATTCGGCAGTTGTGTGTGTGGCGGAGAAAAAAAAAGAGGGGGGATGTTGCATTCATGTGATGTCGGAAAGAATCGAAAAATGACTTTCAGAATGGGATAACTCACATTAACGCCACCTCATGTCAGAAAAACAACTCGGCATCTCGGATCTCCCGACACCACATGAATGCAGCAAAAAAATGCAGCGTGCTTCTCATGTCCAACATGGCACGGAAATATCTGTGCATACCGGCAACAAGCACGCTGTCAGAGAGGGTGTTTAGCACGGCTGGTAACATTGTTAACCATGTGCGCATATGAATTAACGTTACGGCCGGGTTCCACTGGCTGCAAACGTAAGCATCACGTCAAGTGTCTTGTTTACCGTTTGCTGAGCCATGATAGTTAAAGCATTTTCCACCTAAGTTATTAGCTACATATATTTATATATGTAGCTATATATTATATATATATAATTATATTTTTTATCTACATGTTTACTACTGTTTCTCATCTACTCGCTTTCAAATGTCCGCCACGGACATTTACACAATGTCACGGATAAACATAGGTAAATGAATGAAAAAAAAAATCATCACATATCACCTCTAATAATGGATTATTCATTTAAAAACAAAATGTGCACGATTAGCACACTATTTCATGTAGTTTTTATCTGCTGGAGGGTCGCGTAGGGGAGCGTAGCGCGACAAAAATAGAAGAGCCACGTAAAATAGAGAGTTGCAGCTCCTGTTGCCGGTGGAGCAGCTGTAATTGATTAACGGGGCGAGCTGCTACGGGACTCGCGTTGCAGACGTGTCGCGCCGCTCCCATTGCCGGTGGACCCCGGCCGTGACTTTAAGCTCCGCCATCACTGACGTGTTTTGTGAAAGACTCGTCAGAAATCAGTGTGAAGCTGCCAGTTCCAATACGCACACACTTGAATTGTGCTCTACATAGTTATTATGGACTATGTGTACCGAGTTTAATTCTGTGGAGACAGACCATTCATTTAGGAAAATAAAATGACAAAAATCGCCCAAAAAATCGCCAAAAATGAAACCAACCGTGATGGACTCAGCCGATGGGCGATTGGCGATATATTCGTCCATTCGCCCAAGCCTAGTTGTGACACACTCATTCTTTAAGCTTTAAAGAAGGTAGTGGTATATTGTGAATCTAGACAACGTAAGGCATCTATTGGTACCAACTATTTCAGTATAGTGTGTCGGTGAAGGGGATAAATAATGCTACAAATTTAGGCTACATTATGGTAAGGGGACAGCTGGCATGGCCTTTATCAAAGGGTTCCCTTGAACGTTTACCTCAAGATATCTGAATGAAAATGGGCTCTGTGGGCACCCATGAGTCTAAGCTTGTTCCCAGTAAATGTTTTGTTCCTGACAATCAATGTACTCCTTCAAATAAAGCTGTATATTTGTCTTTTTAAGGAAAAGGACAACCAGACTGTTTGAAGATTAATAAATCAACAAACATGTATGCATTACACATTACAACAGGATTGTCGTGGAACCCAAAATGTTAGCTGTATTAGTATTAGTATCAGTCTGTGCACAATGCCTTAGCTCTTCTATTGACATGGTTTTCAAGAAGCCTTTGTAGTTCAACAGCAAAAGCAAATTCTTAAAATTCAGTTATGGCTTTTGATTTTGGTGTGCCATCTCAAGATTTTCAGTGTCCCTGTCTGGCCACCCCTATGGGAATTTTCTGGTGGCACCACTGAAATTTTTGCAACTCATTCTACAAAATCTAAAAAGAACCACTAAGGCCAGTGCTTTATATTTTTATGCACCTGCTTTGTTCTCAGGGAAGCCTGATGAGTTGCCTCGTAAGCAGCTGGGTCAGGAGCTGCCAGTGCTGTTGAGTCCAGTCCAGCCCTCCAGAGGGAAGCAGTCCTCAGCCAGCGGGTTCCCCAGAGCAGGTCTCAGCCTCCACATCATCTCCCACCAACCTGACTCCATATCCCCAGACCAGAGCCCCTCCAAGGACCCCAAGGATCTCGATGTCGTGGACGAGGAGGAGGCCCCGCTGCCTTCCCCAGATCCCATCATCATCCACAGCCAGGCCCCGCTCACTCCCGACGGCTCTCCGCTGATGGGGCCTCCGCCTTACCAGCCCCCAGGGAGTGAGGCAGTGGTCATAGAGGCTCACCCCTCACCACCAGATCAGGGAAGGGATGAAATGCAACCGCAGATTGCAGATGCACTTTCCCTAGCCTCCACAGACGACTCCTCTGTGGTCACTCGCTCAGCTGGCAACACCGACCAATCCTCCTGCAAGGTCCCACGGACTCTTTCAGCTCCTGTAGCTCAGGCGGCTTTGCCAGCTTCTGGACTGTCTCAGTCAGAGAGTTTGTCTGCAGCAGAGAGAGCTGAGGACAGTTACCTGGCCCAGCTGCTGGAGCAGGCCTCAGCTCTGCCCACCAACAGGAACCTGAACCAGGACTTGAATGAAGCATCAGAGGAAACACAGCAGGCTCTGGACATTTAATGAAATGAGCACTAGTTTATTGATTATATGCCCTCTCCATTTCTTGGATTGTGTGTCAGTGGCATGGATTGGCTCTGCCTTTTTCAACTGTTTGGTACATTAAATGTTCTGTATGGGTCAAGCTCAGGCAGTTCAAACAGTTTGGTGGATGAGGATACTGTTAATGAAGTGAAGAACTACAGAAGTAGGATTTATCAGTCAGAGTATAAATGTCAAGCAATAAGTGCTTAAAATATATTAACAATTTAAGGAGAAGTATGAGTTTTAGTAATCTAATTTGTCGATTTTTAAGAGACAGAGATCTTTTGAGAAGACCATGAACTTCTTTCCTGAGTTTGTAAAATCAATTCAAACTCAGCAGAGCACTTTGTAATGACTGAAATGCAGTCTGAAGCTCTTGCACTGCTTGCACTATGGAAGGAGCATGCGGGTATATGACAGTGTCATCCACATATACGTGCATTTTTGCTTGAATGTCTTTACACAAATCATTTATAAAAAAAGAAAACAAAATAGGCCCCAAGATGCAACCCTGGGGGACACCTGTAGTTATCTCAAGAAATATGCATATGTGCACTGGGCTCTAACTAAACACTGGCAGCCACTCACATATAAAAATGATTCAATTAACAAATTAAAAGAGTAGGAAATTTGACTTAGCTGCATAAAATTTGTGACGTGGGGTCTGTCCAATCACATTGGTTTATAATGCCTATAATAGTGCTGTATCTCATCTATATTGTGCAGTATTGTGCAGGTAGCAATAATGTTGCAACCCCACACTGAATCCTGGAGGGACAGCATGTGTTCTTTTCATCCAGCATAAGTTCAGTCACAAAAATGCAATCACTGCGCATTCACAAATAATTTCTCCTAACATAGGTTGTCTCTGCCTGAGTGCCATCTCCCACTGCTGCTGATAGGTTAAAAACCTCTGGAGCTCTCCCCAACATCAACAGAGATGGAAGTGATTTCCTCTTGAAGGGATAGTTTGGATTTTTGAGGTGGGGCTGTATGAGGTACTTAACCAGAGTCTGTGTATTACATACAGTAGATGTCAGTCAGCACACCCCCAGTTTGAAAAGCAGGCTGGAGTCAAACGTAGAAGCTAGGCAATTTACAGCTGTGAAGGGATCAGCAACAAATCTATTTTAGCCACCTAAAAAAAAAGTCCCACCTAAAAAATTATTATCAGTTTAAGCGTATGCTATATTGACAGTATTTTCACCACTTGACCTTTCCGTTAGACAGCCCATTTTCACAAGGAAGCTGCCAACAGCCACCAGGCTCATTTGAGAAAAACAGTAATTTTAGCTTGCTGGACACAGAAGCTGCCAGTCCACTGCTGCTTCGAACAATTAGTTAGTTTGTGTTATTGTGTGACTTTGTTAAATATAGACTAACTTTTTAACTAACCCCAAAGTCACACAATAACACATACAAACTAACTGATTGAGGCTACAGTAGATCGGCAGCTCCTGTGTTCAGCAATGTTTAGGTACTGTTTTTCTCAACAGAGTCTGGCTTTGAAGAGAGCAATACAAGGGCTCAATTTTCCCAGTGAAATCACTTGTCTGACATTAAAGTAAAACTATGAAAATACACTCAGTGTTCCATACACTTAAACTGAAATTAATTTTTGTGATGGGACTTTTTTAGATGGCTAAAATACATTTTGTTGCTGCCCCCCATCCACAGCAGTACATAGCCTAGCTTCGGTGTCAGACTCCAGCCTGCTTCTCCAAACTAGGGGAGTGGTGACTGACATCTGCTCAATGCAGTGTATTGTCTATGGATAAGTGTTCCATACAGTCCCTTCCAAAGATCTGAAATATCCCTTAAGATAATGTTTCTGCTTCTAGGCACAAAGGTAGGATCGCATGTGTCACTAGGAATTTGTGGCAAGTAAGGACTGATTTTCTACTGTGAGATGCTCAATACATATGGACCCAGTTTGTCTTCCGTTGCTCTGCAGGAGCTTTGTCAAGTCTAAAAAAAAACAAAAAACCCTGATGATGTAATGCTGATGTCATCATAGTTGTCTCGAATCGAGTTTAGAGACTACAAATCTCTAACAGAAGTCTTAGTCACAAACCGGGAATGTAGAGTTTAACAGATGTGTGTAGTTTCCAAGCAGGGAGGGGCTAATATAAGATGCTATTGAGTTGACTTGATGGGAAATGTCGGATCTAGAGGTTCTGGAGCTTGACCCAAACTAGGGATTAAAGTTTGGCCATTCTGTTTTTAACCTGTCTTTCACAAACCCGCAGCTTCATGAAGGTGGAATACTCTCTAGTGCAGACAAAATGAATGTGTTTTAAATCTCAAAAATATTGGTATTGGATGAAAGAAAATAGAAATGATCAAATTACTTTAACAAAATACTTTTAACACTAGCTAAAACTCTGACCTGTGCAGAGCAAATGTACCTCACATTGTTACCTTCCATGGCACAACAATCCCTTCAAGAACACTCCTCTCTTGCTTTTGATGCACACCACGTGTTATTTTTATTTTGAGAAATTGTGCTCATTTCCCAGATTTTGAGGGACCTGGTTCTCACAGGAGAAGTAGGATGATAAGGAGACACAGCTACACTGACTGTCAAGACACCTCTGAAGTATTCAAAATCACATGCACACTGTTTCCTGTTTGGCTGAAAAAGTCTGAATTACCTGGATAGTGACTTTGATGGAGTTTTACTGCTGCAGAGAGGAGTCTGAAAGCATACAGAAATCTCTGAGGCATCACCCTTTACAATAAAAGAAACATTTTTGTAGTTTTGTAACGTTTCATCAGAGAACATGTTGCTCAGTCAGCCTTTGTAAAATGTTTGCTAGCAGAGTTACAGTTTTATTTTTTGTACCAATGTCTTGATGCCTTATTTGGATCAGCTTCAGTTCTTCTGTGGACGTTGTTGATGTTGAACCGTGCACAACAACAGAGGAAGTGAGGTCATTTGACACAGCACGAGGACAAAAAACAACTTTCAGGTGTTAGACTGAACACGAAACCTCTGACATGGTGAGCTGGCTCACTGTTATGATTGTACACATTGAAACCTATTAAGCTCATTTGAAATAAGTGGTTTTCTAGCTCAGTAATTTATTGTTTTATCTTCTTAGAAAGACATCCAGGTCATTTCACTGCTCTTGTGCTCAATCTTCTCAAGAACTGGAATATTTGCTGCATTTCCACTGAGCTCCTTGAACAGTGAAAATACCCTTTTGTTTTTTAATCCTACAGAAGAGGATCTGGAATGGATTTAGACTTGTCAGATTTTAATAGCTTTGTGTTTGTACAGTATTGTAGAACCAGTGGGTAAGAAGAGTTAAAGGCAGTTTTCCCATCTGAGGGTAGAAAAAACATTTCTTCAGCTTTAGTGCTTAGAAATAGTGAAAGGTTGACATCTTGTGGTTGCTTTAGGTTAGGCATGACTCTATTTAGATCTAGCACAGAGGAGTAGAAGTGTTTTAGAAAGACTTTTGAACATTTAGAATTAATCCAAATGACAACAGATTCGACTGGAAATATTTTAAGTTTTGCAATTTAATGCCATTATTTTGAATTTTGTGAACATACTGTGGCTATTAATGACATTTGACTGTATTTCAATCTAAATGTGGTTTAAATAGGCTAATTGTGTATAAAAGTAGCCACAGTTGAACCAATGGACCAATGTGCAGGAAGTTTTCTTCAGCTTCTTTGGAGGTTGGGGTCTTTAAATTAGATGAAGTTACAGTATAGTACTATGTCATTGTTGTGCACTTCAGGTCAGATTGTGGAGATAAAACAAAGTGTTTGAGTCTTGGCTTGATATTTGTTGTCTACATTGAAACCTACAGCACCTTTTGTTATAAGAAATTGATGAAACCCTGGAGCTGAAAAAAACAAAAATACAACTTTTATCTTCCTTGATTGTCTGTGTGTTTACTGTCTGTCTGTCTGTTGGAGTGCAGATCAAGGTGAGTGTGTCCAGTGGTGGGTAGTGTGCTGAAAATCTATACTCAGGTAAAAGTCCAATTACTCCTATAAAAAATGACTCAAGTAAAAGTGAAAATTACCATTTGAGAAAACTAACTCAAATGGAGTGGAGAGGAGTTCTACAAACTGACAGATAACTTGTTGATTGGACAGTTTTGGCGTTTGCCATCCTGCATCATCGGGACTCCGGTGGGGAATCAAATTCTGGTGACGTTTCTGCAGCAGCTTTAATGCTTCTGAAGTGTTTATATTTCTGTTCTTTGGTTTCACAAAAAGCTCAAAGAGAAATAACTGATTGTAAGCATTATTAGTAGGCTATCAAATCAATAACATGTTATGAATAATGACTAACAGACAGGATGAAGAGAAGGCGTCCTGTACAGTAATGATTTGGGGCTTAATACTATGGGATCACTGTCACACACCTTTTAATAAACAGACAAAGTACACAAAGTCGGATACCATCATACATTCATGGTAGTTTTAATCAGGTAGTTTTAATCAGGGAAAATACCTTCACTGACATGCATATGTGTTACCATGGTTACATGTATGCATTAGCATACATTGGTTGTGGGATATACATGGCCTTTATCAGGATCAATTATGAGATCATGGACACATTTCACAATCAGCAGATGGATTTATTATTGCTTTAGCTGTACAAATAACGCTAAAATCACATATCTGTTATAAAATCCTGTGGTTGGTTCCTTTTCTTGCACACCACAGATGGACCTCACCAGAGTCTGTTTTGGAAGGAGACGGAGACTCACCTTTTTGAGAGGTCTCAGTTTGGTTGTTTGGTCTGCACCAGTGTTAGAACCAGTGTTAGACTGACGGCTGTCACACAAGCCCAAATGAACCATTCAAACCAAACGCACCTGAGTTCCTTTTAACCGATCCAAACAGGTTAGGTGTGAAAGCACCCTTACACTACTGAAAATCAAGAAGGCCCTGCAACTCCTAGTTAAACTTTGACGATCCCTAGTGGGGTGAGGCCCCCAGGTTGGAAACCAGTGGGTTAGTTGACTGTGATCATGACTCAGTCATGGAATTGCACTGGACTCACCTTGATGGTACGTGCTCCCAAACATATTTCAGCCCTAACTGTAAAATAAGAAGAATTACTCAACCAATTACTTATTAAAGAGATGGATAAGGAAAGGATGAAAAAAGAGAAAAGTAATAGTTAAACATTTCTAGGTTAGGAAAGCAATATCGGTTAACTATAGCCATTTCCAAACAGTTTAAGATTATACTAAAGAGGTCTAGGATCAGATAAGTATTTATGAAATATTTTAACTTTGAAAAGGGTCAGATTTGACCCAAACACGAGCGTTAATGTGTGTAAACAGAATTGGGAAAATAGGACCTTGGAAACAACAATTTATGCCAACATATGCTAAGCTAGCAGAATGGACATAACATGACAGTGAAAAGTTGCACATTTCCTCTGATTTGTTAAAAATATTCTACACTAAAACAAGCAATACATAAGTCTAATGTGGTTTTATTTTGAAAATCCTAACCAGAAGTCCCATTCGTCCCTCAGGTCAAACCCTAGCTGCCTCAAATACACGTGCAGTTTATTGGGACAATTGCTCAGCTGCAATTCTGCATTGTGGCCACAGAGGGGAAGTGTAGGGCAGCAGTACACTCATCTGTGTTATTACTTGAGTTGTGTATGATTGGTCCGTGTGCTTAAAACACTTTCCATCACTTCACGATTTGGTTAGTTGTGTCTCAGCAGGACAGTCTTATGCAGCTGTCTCGTCTAGGCAGTTGGACTTTTTCCAAACTGGGACTGAAAGTTGGATTTAATGGAAAAGTTTTGGTCTGTTCTTTACTGTGCGTCAAGTGATTTAATCTAAAACATCTCAACAAAATGTCCAGCAGTCTTTTGGTGAAAACTCTGGAGGACATGACCCTGGATCCGGGCTATGTGACCGGGGATCCCTGCCCGTCCCTCAGCCTGTCGTCCTCCGGCAGGTCAAGGCAGTCTCAGCCTCACACAAGCACTCCTCACCGGGGTACCTGGTGGCAGCACGCCGGCTCTCTGCACAGCAGGAATGGCAGCTGGGACACGGTGATCACGCTGCCGGAGGACGCTGCGGACATCCTGGTCAAGTGTCCCTCCCTGCCCGATGTGGAGGAGTATCCCTGGACCGAGCAGGAGCTGAGAGAAATCGTGCGTCGAGTTGCCGATTCGGATGCCTCGTTCACCGGAGAAGCTGTCCACAGGCTGTCCAGTCTGCTCCGGAGGGCTTTGGTGCGGATCTCCCGGGAGGCACAGCGACTCAGTGAGCTCCACAGGCGGTGCACGCGCCTGGAGGTCCAGAGCGCGGTGAGGCTGGTGCTAAGCTGGGGTCTGGCCGAGAAGTGCATCTCCTCCGCAGTGAAAGCCGTGTCTCTCCACTGCATGAGCTCCGGGGACACAGCACGTCAGCGGGGCAAGTCCGCGCGCTGCGGTCTGACGCTCTCCGTGGGCCGCTTTTTCAGGTGGATGGTGGAAACACGCGTGTCGGTACGCGTGCATGAGTACGCCGCTGTCTGCCTGACGGCATGTGTGGAGAGTTTGACGGAGGAGGTGGTTGTACGAGCGCTGCAAGCTGCGAGGCTGACCGCGGAGAGGGAGGAGGAGAAGCGGGGCGGCGGGGTCACCTGCTGCCCGGTGACCGCGGAGCTGCTGGAGGGAGCTGTCAATAATGACGCGGAGCTGTGGGGACTGCTGCAGGTCTATGAGCATCTGATATGTGGCAAAAATGCCAATGGTGAGTTTATGTACCTCATGAAACAGTTTCTTTTTACCTCATGAAGTCAGTTCTTTTTATAATGACAATAGTGGTTGTGATGAGTAGGCTATATGGTCATAATAGGGTTGCAATGGTATGAAATTTTCACAGTAATCCTCTCAGAAAACTTACGGAGCTCACGGAATCACAGAATTCTAACTATTCTTCTCACCATTAAAGGGATGGAAATGGAAAAGCTTTTGAAATAACCAAAATAAAGGTGAGATTCTCCTTCCAGTTGCATTTTTTCAATAACGTAGATAAGCAAATGTATAGGCTACAGTATGATGAGCGTCAATTTTAATACCTTGCTTTACCCCATAGTTTATAATACAAAAACAACTTCCACCGCAGTAAACAGCCTGTCAAACTGATTGGACAGGTGATTTTATTAATCAGTTTTAAAGTAATTTATCAAGCAGAAACATTCAACATTTTTCTTTCCTGCTTGACCAAGTGAGGATTTTCTCACATCTCTGTTGTCATTTAAAATGGAATAGCTCTGGGTTTTTCAGCTATTGGTCACAAAGAAATGTAGAAAGAAGAAAAATGTATCAAAAAATAATTTCCAGGCTAAACAATAATCAAAGTTATGGACAGCACTATGTTTTGCCTATATTGTATTACATCCCACAAGACTGGAGAAGAAACATACATGTTTTATTGCAAAAGAATTCCCATATCAATCCAACATTTTGGACACCTGTTGGTTTTATTACATACACAATTTTATTTTGATTTTATAATGAGTGAGAATTTAAACTTACAGAAGACTTTTTTACACACTCATGTTTTTACTTTTTCCACCTACATGATATAATTTCTATGTCCAGGTAAAACATGACATCGGATGCAATAACACAGTGACATTGTGTGAGATGTCACATGTTAACCAATGAAAACAGTCACAGTCCAGTGCCCAAAAAGCATGTGTGTTTTGAATACACGTCTCTTTTCACATGTGACCTGATCAGGATTCATAGGAGAGGCTCCTTATTGTTCCTCTGTGAAGTTTTTCCTCACTATTATCTTGTCAGATAATAACTTAAATTGGTGAGAAAGATGATCCAGCCTGAATGTAAATTGATATGTTTCTGTCATCGTTTTTTATAAAAATCTGAAACATGAAACTAGTCCCTCACTTAAGAGAAATTACTCTCTGCTACTGTATTGTACTGAACCTGAACAGATTGCATTTAATAAAAATATGTAACTTGTCACAATCTAACAACTACAGTACGAATGCTGTACATGTCTTTATAGACTGAGCTGACACCACTCTTGAGGAAAACCCCTGCTTCTGACTCCTATGTTAAAACTGGGTGGTATTACAGAGCAGAAGTGTTAATGGTGGCATGAAATTGCTCAAAGGGTAGTCTAGATAAAAATAATAGATGTTTTCCTGCAGTTTAAGAAGTCTACCAACAGCATGAATAGCTTGATGGGTAAAGCCCTCAGACAGGAAGCAGGCATTTTGGGTAATTACAAATTGGGAAGTGGAAAATCCTTTCTGATAAACGTCTGCACTCAGATGATCACTGGGATATTTATTGGTTATTTGTGTGTGATACATGGTTCACATGAACACACAACCTATACTAAATAACTCAAAATTTGATGGGAGGTTGGTTTGTCTCTGACCAAAGCTAGCTAGAAAGTAGGACAGCAGACTCGACAGACAGTCTGGTTACACTGCATCATCTCCTTCATAACTCAGCAGTTTCGAGAGCTTTAAAGTGACTGACAAACTAACAAGATGGTAGAAAGATTAGGCTATTAGTTAAACCAATAACAGGGTTCTTGCACCATTTTAAAAGTAAAATTTAATGCTTTTTAAGACCTTTTTAAGACCTCAAATAACATAATTTAAGACCTAAAAATAATATATAAATATCAATTTATTGACTTTATGCAGATAGTAACAGTACTGCTTATGTGCTCTATTCAAGTCAGTCTATGGTCACTGTGGTCTTTCTGTGTGTGTGGCCTATAAATTTAATGGTAAATTTTGCAAATTAAACTAATGATTTTCTATAGGTTTACTAACTGGTAAAATCATATATTTTGTGCTAAAATACAACATATCTAATGTGTATTTACAACATAGCTTGATTCTGCATCTCTATTTACAGCTCATTAACCCTTACGTGAATGTTTACTGTTGCTGTGGCAGCAAGTGACATTAGCAGCTAGATTTGCCCAACCGTCAACAACCCATAAAATCACAATTCGGCATATTTACACATAATAAACCACATCTACCAACAGTTACATCCCTTAAACTCTGAGCTAATGTGTTGTTACCTGTTAGATTGTCAAAGTGAACATACCTGTGAACGACCTGTGACCTAAATATAGCACATAACCAGTCCTCTGCCGACTCTGCCCGGATTGGGAGCACTGAGTAGCCTAGCAGGGGAGTGTTGGTGTTTAGGAGCTTTGGACCGCATTATTAACGTTGCTCAATTTTACACCATTCTCACTGCCGCGATACGGAAATGCGGGACGGATTTGCGGAATATTTGCGAAGCGCTTTTCTGCGCTCAAACCATACACACAGGTGCGGTACGGACGCGGTGCGAAATTTCGCGTTGTTGTGTTCCAAGTCCGCGCTGCGTGAACGGGTGTGGGTGAACATGGACGAGAGTAGCTGTAGCAGCAGCAGCAGCGAACTAGCAAGCTAACGTTTAACAAGCATCAACATCAGCTTTCTATAGACGTCGGAACTAGGGGTGCGGGGGGTGCGGCCGCACCCCCTCCCATCCGCACCCCGCACCCCAGCCTCCCTACCCACTACATTACGCTTTAAAAAATAAAGAAATTGAATTTAAACTCAATTTGTCTGACTTACATTTAGCCTATCTTTTTCATATCATTAATGCATAGATCTATGCTTTTGATGTGATATGCAACCTGCCTGACTACATACAGTAGCCTTGTCATCCAGGATGTTGTGTCCATCCTGCAAACCTTGCAGCCCCAAACCCGCTCCATGCTGTCGGAGGTGGAGAAGCTCATTAAGCTCTGTCTGGCCCTGCCCTGCATCTGAGCGCTCTTTCTCAGCCTTGCGCAGGCTGAAAACCTGGCTGTGCAACACCATGACGCAGGAGAGACTAACACATTTGGCCATTATGAACGCTCACAGTGACCTTATGGATGAAAGCGATGTCTCGACCCTGCTTAAAATCTTCATCAGTAGGTCAGCTGAGAGAAGGTCCACTTTTGGAAATGCATGAAAGCCCTGAGACAGAAGCGCAGACTTTTCTTTTTTACATTCAAGGTTACAAATAATGTTATATTCCATAAATGGCTTGATTTAGTTATCAAAGTTTCATTTTCTTAACAATATAGATGCTGTGTTCATCCATTCTAGTTCTCTTATAACTGCACGTTATTATAAAATAACTTCAAATCAAATCCTTAATCACTGATAAGTGTGCGTGCTTCCCCCACCCCTCCCAACAAAAATCCCGCCCCCCTCTCAGAAAATAGTTCCGACGTCCATGAACACTTACCACTCTCACAGCAGCCACCAAGCTGGACAGTGGACTGCCAGACGTTGTCCTTTAATTCATTGTTCATAAAATCATCCCGTCTGGTATCAAAAAGGATGGGGTACTGTGAAACGAAATTTATCAACCTTTCTCCCATAAGTGTTACTGTCCTGCCTGACTGGATTTCCGACTCTCCCGGGTCTGCGCGACTATAAACAAACAATTTCATTGGCCCAGCTGTGTAGTTCCACCGGCGAATTCCACGGGGGGGTCAATGTCTGGGCAGAAACTTTTTTCACCGCATGAAAGTTCCGCCCCGGTGTGCAAACTTCCATAAGAACCCATGAAATCAACTTTTATATTTTTCCGGGAGAATAATCCGCACGGATATTCACCCTCAATGAGAATGGACTTTTAGTATGAATAATATATGTGATTTCAAACACAATCGTAACGTTACTTACACTGAAATGACCCAAGATGTCCTTGGCTCTGGAGTGACCCATGAACTCTGACCCATAGTAACGGAGATGATGTGTGCCAGTCTCATCAGTGGTCCAGAACCGCAAATGAAGGTCCATTAGTTTGCTCTTTGTCGTTTCATTCATGCTTTCGTCAACCATGACAACATATGGCTTCTAACTCACGCTGCGCGATAGCTCCTTTTTGATGAATGAAGCGATGCCATATTTGGGGACATATGCAGTTTTATTTTCACCACAGGTGAATGACAAGCTGGGAGTCGGGGAACATGGCGGCAAAGATGTCTCGTATGTCCTCGTTAGATCTTAACAAATTGTGCCTCGCCACAGTATGCAGAACCCACAGTACCTCTGCCTTTTGGGTCTCTGGCGGTGACATGAAACTCGTCACAGCCGACTGAGAGGTGGCGTCTGAACTTGTAACGTCTTTCAGTCGCGCTGCAAACAATGCAGGGATTAGCCTGGCCCCGCTATTGCTAACTGCTGCCATGTACCGCTGGTGGTTTACTCCTTTCATGTGAGACTCAAAGGCTTTGAGCCCCATGGTCCCTAAAGAAAAAGTCTTCTTACAAAATGTGCACATTGCCTCGTTGTTGTTTGCCAGTGCCAACCACCTCCTAAATACGTCCTCCTCCATCCCCTTCTCGTTAAATTTACATTTCCCCATCTCTGCATCTTCAACCACTCACCTCGATATCCGCGAAATGCGGATGCCCGACGTCAGCGTCTGTAGCAGACGTACCGTAAAACAGCTATTAATCACCGAGACTCATTTACGTCATTGTACCATATAGGTACCATACTAAATTAATCACACAAATACACACTGTTATATGTTTTACGGTGGGCCCCTGTGCTTTCCCATTGACATTAAACGCACCGGCTGAAAATTTAATACCTACAGCAAATTTACGGTAAATTTAAGACAATTTAAGACCTTAATTACCCGAATTTTAATTTAAGACATTTTAAGACTTTTTAAGGACCCGTGGGAACCCTGAAT